CAGAGACAACTAGTTCACCTGATCATGCACCATACTAAAAAATGAAACTATGTCAAGTATTATCCATAAGCAACACTGGCATTTTAAACTGTGAATGCTTGACAATGAAGAAGACCACCATCATAGTTTGATGCCACTGCCTCGGTCTGTGTTAAGCTCCCAGCCATGTTACTATCATTTGGGAGTCACTAATGCAAGTGTTAATACCACAAAAGTGGGAATTATATCTCAATTTCATTACAAATGAATGTCTGATCTCACAATCTCTGCCCCCATCCACACACAGCATAGACAGGGACTTTCAAGTATCTGTGTACTATTTCTATAAAAATGATTCTACATATATTATACACATGAATCTTCTGCTTAATAGCCAAGATTCCACCTAGTTATAAGAGACAAGCTTAATTGTAATTTTGTGTTTCTGAACATCACAGTTTCTTGGCCCTCATTTTTAATGATCTTTTATGTCAGTATGTTTAATTTCATAGAATTTTTTCACCTGACTTGAGTTTTCACACTTCCGCTTGCAAGCCATTCTCTTCCCTCCTATAGCTCTGCAGATTCTCTCATTTATATATAATCTCAATTTACACACATTCATTCATACTCGAACACACATCACATTTCTATATTCTTCTCACTCTCCCTGGTTGCTATGCACTCTTTAAGTCATTTCTTTAAATATTTCCTCCCCAAAGAGGTCTTCTGTGATTATCCTGTTTCCTTTTCCTTCCTATTTACTGTTGGAGTCCCCAGGCCTTAGAATAATATTTGATAGATATAATACATAAAATCAAGTGAACTGAAAAAAATAATGATGGAATATAAGAAACCGAATAAATTCAGTTATAGATTATCAATTTGCAACTACATTAAGGAATATAAGATTCAGTGCACAGCCCTCTAATTGAAGCTGTATGCCTCCATTTGTTTATACATATGTTGCTTTGCATGCACATGCACACACACACACACACACACACACACACACACACACACACGTCTGCCCATTGACTGACACAAAGTGGGTTTTTAATAGAAATTTGCTGAATGTGTGCAAATCAACAGCATGTGCATTGATTTATATTCAGCTTTATGCTTCTTCAAATTGTCAATTATGCTTCCAGAACATTCTCTGGTACTTTTTTGATCTTCTGCCTCATAGAAATACATTATTCACAATATGTTTTCCCCTTTAAAATATTTAAAAGATTATGGTTCTGCCATGTGGTATAAACTATAGACTTCCTTGACATAGGGAATTAATGTCTAGATACTTAAAATGATTTTTGCCTTCCATCTCTTTCTTGGAATGGGTAAGAGGAGGAAGAGTTATGAAAAAAATACGGATTGTTAGAACTGAAGCACAAATGACTGGGGTGGTAAAACATCAGATGCAATAGAAACAAGAGGCCTAGAATAGCCAAAGCATTCATTAGCAAGAAAAATGAAGCAGGAGGCATCACAATACCAGAGCTTAAACTATTCTACAGAGCAACTGTAACAAAAACAGCATGGCATTGGCACCAAAATAGACATGTAGATCAATGGTACAGAATAGAAGACACAGAGACTAACCCATGTAAATACAGTTATCTCATACTAGACAAAGGTGCCCAAAACATACATTGGAGAAAGGATAGCCTCTTCAACAAATGGTGCTGCTAAAACTGGAAATTCATTATGTAGCAAAATGAAATTAAACCTCTATCTCTCACCTTGCACAAAACTCTACTCAAAGTGGGTCAAGGACCTAGGAATTAGACCAGAGACCTTGCACCGAATAGAAGAAATAGTAGGCCCAAATCTTCATCATGGTGGATTAGGCCTGTACTTCCTTAACAAAACTCTTAAAACACAAGAAATAAAATCAAGGATCAATAAATGAGATGGATTCAAATTAAAAAACTTCTCGGCAGAAGAAAAAATCATGGAGGTCAAGAGAAAGCCTACAGTATGGGAGCAAGTTTTTACCACACGCACATCAGATAAAGTACTAATCTCCATGATGTATAAAAAACGCAAAAAACTTAATAACAAAAAAACAAACAACCTAATCAATAAATGCACTAATGAACTAAACAGACATTTCTCAGAAGATACATAGGTGATCAACAAATACATGAAAAAGTGTTCAACATCTTTAGTAATTACAGAAATGCAAATCAAAACTACATGAAGATTCATCTCACTCCAGTCAGAATAGCAGTTATCAAGAATACAAGCAATAAAAAGTGTTGAAAAGGATGTGGGGGAAAAGGTACACTCACACATTGCTGGAAGATTGTAAATTGGTGCAATCACTTTGGAAAACAGTGGGGAGTTTCCTCAGAAAACTTGGAATGGAACCACCATTTGACCCAGCTAGCTTACTCCTCAGTCTATACCCAAAGGGTTTCAAATCAGCATACTGTAGTGACATAGTCATACCAATGTTATTGCAGCTGATTTCACAATAGCTAAACTGTGGAACCAATCTAGATGTCCATCAATAGATTAATGGATAAAGAAACTGTAGTATACATACACAGTGGAATATTACTTAGCATTAAAAGAGAAAAAAATATGGCATTTGCAGGTAAATGGATGGAGTTGGAGAACATTGTGCTAAACAAAATAAGCCAATCCCCCAAACTAAAGGCTAAATGTTTTCTGATTAGTAAATGCTGATCTATGATGGGGGGGGCATGGGGAAAATGAAGGAACTTTGGATTGGGCAAAGGGAAGGGTAGGGTAGGGTTATAAGTAAAGGAAAGATGATGGAATGAGACGGACATCATTGCCATAGGTGCATGTATAACTGCATGAATGGTGTGTCTCTACATCATGTACAACCAGAGAATTGAAATGTTGTGCTCCATTTGTATGTGATGAATTAAAATGCATTTTGCTGTCACATATAACTAAGTAGAACAAATAAAAATAATAGTAGTAAAAAATAATAATAGGCAAAACCCTCAAAAAAATCTTGGAAAATACAAGGCAAAATCAAGAGTGAGAATCACTCTTACACATAGGGCTGTACGTAAAGCTGAAGATACTTGTACAGATTACATAGTTCAAGTTCCTAAATTTACAGATGGAAATTTTGAGGCCCAAGAGAAAGCAAGTTCACCCAGAAAGAGCCAGAAAGAACTAGAAGCAGGAGTCTTATGCCCTCCTCTAGGCTGGAGTTAGTATTCGTGGTCCTGCTGCATTTGCTGTGCAGATTGCATTTCTATGTGAGTTTTACACTTTTTTTGTGTGGAAGTTTTTTTTTTCCAAGCCCTGCATCCTAGTCACTTTGGAGGAATCTACAGTGTAGCAGGTAAAGTCCTCTGCTACCAAAACCATAGTGGAGAGATCCTACTCCATGCCTACCTGGAATGGGACAGAAGGCTGCCACAGGCACTTTCTTTTTCCAACTGAAGAGGAAATCAGAAAAACGGGCTCAGGTGAGATACAGGACAAAGGTCATTGATACTCAAAGTCAAGTTTCTCTGGACACTCTCTTTTTACTGTTGGGCATCTCCTTACATAAAATAAAAAGGAGATCTCCCATCACAAAGGAGCAGGAGGGAGGCAAAAGGAAGAGAAAGATTTCCAAGAACCATGGATGATGGTAGAAAGGCTTGTGACTACTCAATCTTTGTCTTGCAGATAATTTATAGAAAACTCCACAGCTATACAACAGATCTAGAACCAAGATATTTTTTATTCCCCAAAGCATGCTCCTTCACATACCCCAAGACTCCATTACTTCTCAATATGTGATCAACCACTGACTTTCTTCAAATGAAGAAGAGATATTACTCATGTTACTTTCAACTTTATGAATCTCTAAATAATTTTTTTTTTATCTGGACAAGGCAGAATTCTACACTTTCAAAAAGTACTTTTTAACTTAAAATAAAATTTGATTTTTATCTCAACTTGAAACTTTAAACATTATATAAAAATATTTAAAATATAACCTACAAACCCCTGCTTTGCACATTCTTTTTTGGGGGGGTTGTGTATGTTATAGGACTTTGCTATACACAATTAATATAAATTAAACAATATATATTTGGCCTGTTTGCAGTATTTTGTTATTCACTCTTACATGGCTTTTCTCTCTCCTCCCCCTCTCCTCTTTAATTATGTTTATTTCTTTATTTCCTATTGGTTTTACCCATTTGTGACACTTTTCATCTTTATCACACGTCTTTAATAGCACCTGGCTACCTTGAACAACTTCATGTTCCTGAAAACAACAGCAACAACCTACTACGACTTTCAAATCCTGCTTTTTAACCATGCCAGAAACTTAGGAAGGATCTCAGTGTCCCATTGTCTCCTCTAAAAAAGAAAAATATGAATTATCCTCAAGTCAAGGAAAACCAGCCCTAGAAGTGAACAGTTCAGTTTGAAAAAGGAAGAAGGTAAACCATCTTTCCTAGAAAGATGGTCACACAAAGTTCTATGTGATTCTTTCGAGGCTGTCAACTTTTCTTTTTAGTTTGTGAGAATTGTGGTCTTAGCTCATGAAAACAATAAATAATAACAATAATTTTGGGGGGAGGGGTACTGGGGATTGAATTCAGGGGCACTTTAGCACTGTGCCACATCCCTAGTCCTCTTAGTTTTGTTGTTGTTGTTGTTTGTTTGTTTGTTTGTCTTTAATTTTGAGAACAAGGTCTTGATAAATTGCTGAGGCTGGCTTTAAACTTGTGACAGCCTCCCAAGTCACTGGTATTACAGGCCTGTGCCACCACACTTGGCTACAAATAATAGCCTTATTAATACTATTGTGTAGAGACATGTTTATTTTTTCCCTGTCTACTTTTGATCCAGTATTTGAGACTGTTAGCAGTGTATCACATTTATTGGGTAGCCTGAAGAACAAGCAGCCTCACAGCCTCTGTCTTTCTGTGTTTCACACACACACTACCTCAAAGTAGGTTCATGCAGCAGAAGGATCTTAGCAGCATCCTAGATTTTATTGAAAAGATGAAAAAAATCTGGAAGAAAGATACCTGGACACAATGCTTGTAGGTTGGATTGATGTCAGCCTCTGATCCAAACCTCTGGAGAAGGGGAGGAAAAGGAGAGGGTGAGGTGCAGTCCGAGGACAGTGACTCAGAGCTAAATCTGTGGACAAGGACAGAGGGCTAGTGTTTTCCTTTATAACGTGCTGCTTAAAGAGGTCATAAAATGATTTGTTTGACGGAGACAAATTCCTCTGTGAAGTAGTGCTGTGACTCAGTGTCAAGGAAATGTTTTCTAAGAACTTAGTTTTCAAAACCAAAGGGATTATGGTCATTTGGCATGTCTTTTCCTTGCTGAATGGAATCTGTACCCCACTCCCGCCCCATTGTAGAACAGCTATTTCACATGGTCTCCACTGATTTAAGATCATTTTCTTCACTGTTAGCCCATGGATGGATCATGTCACCAAGCAGCTTCTAGATGCATCATCTCTAAATGCTTTTCTACTCTGGTGGGATATTAATTCTCATCATGCCTGCTTAGATCACCTTGGGGACTCCCTAAACCCGTCCATCAATCTAAGCTCCGTGTATCATGGGTTGGACTGATGGAGAAGGCCAGCTCCTTCAGCAGCCAGACAATTATGTAATATAGTGAAATGGAGCTTTGGGGCAGAGAAATTTCCATAAGAGTTGAAGTGATCAGAGAGGGAACAATAAACAGAACGGTTTAGGTTGGATGGTGTGCTGTATTGGCTAATCTATTCCCTGTTCTCCCACCATGCCTGCCCCATTAGCTTTGGCCATGAAAGAATAGGGAGTCTTCAGCAGTTTTATGGCTTTGCATTTATTGCAGCTGGCATTTATGAATTGCACTTTGCTTGCTAAAAACAAAAAGAAAACAATGCATCCTAGATGTAAACAAGGTTTATAGTGAATGCCCTTGGGTTGCGATATTACAAGTATTGTTATATGTATATATTATCTGCTTTCCAAACTACCTCAAATGAAAACATTTTAACCATCAAGAGTAAAATAAATTAAAATTAAAAATAAAACTGCCTAGGACAATTTCAGACAAATGTCATAAACTTGATTGGCATTTGAGCAAAGTTGTCATTGTCACCTCATTCCCCATTCCCAACTATAATAGAACCACAGAGAATACTACTCTATTTAACTGACTTTCAGTTATTAACAGAGGCACTACTACAAACTATTGTGGGGATTTTATTAAGTTATATTGTATTCGTATGTATGTTTCTTAACTAAATG